GTTGCTACAACTTAAAAGCACAACTATAATGACGTGGGAAAATACTCGAACCATGCTGAATACCATGCATGTAGGTACCCGTGAAAATTTAAGAAATATATATATATATATATATGTAGATTTTCACGGGTACAGGTATGTAGGTCTAGGTGTGTTCGGGTCTTTTCCTGTGTAAGATTAAGAGTATCTTGGCAACGTTTTGGTGAGGTCCCATTCACCATCCTCAGGCTGGTGCTTTCTGCTTTGTGCCAGTGCAAGCAGTGTGTGATCGGAGTTGCTGTCTCTCTATAAATACTGGTGGGGAGGGGGCTGGTGTGCTGGACTGGTTGGCTGGGCTGCTGCTTCTTGTTTGGTTCATGGAGTTGATGTTGGTATAATGGGCTGTGTGATGGCCTTGTGAGTTTTGTTGTAGAGAAATCACAGCACAAGACCAAGGATACCACAGCAATAAAACTCACAAGGTCATCAAACAATCCATTACCCAAGCCGTTACAACACAGGCTAATGGAAGAGAGATCAAAACACAAACGACCCAGGAGATCACAACGCAGGACCCAGGATACCATAACGAAAGAACTCACAAGGCCATCACACAACCCATTACCCAAGCTGTTAAAACACGGGAGGCTAATGGAAAAAAGATCACTACAAAACAAATGACCCGAGATTGCACAAGATCCAGGATATCTCCACAACAAAACTCACAAGGCCATCACACAGCCCATTATACCAACATCAACTCCATCAACCAAACAAGAGGCAGCAGTGCAGCCAACCAGCCCAGTACACCAGCCCCCCCCCTCCCCCCAGTATTTATAGAGAGACGGCAGCTCCGATCACACACTGCTTGCACTGGCACAAAGCAGAAAGCACCAGCCTGAGGATGGTGAATGTGACCTCACCAAAACGTCGCCAAGATACTCTTAATCTTACATGGGAAAAGACCCAAACACACCGAGACCTACATACCTGTACCCGTGAAAAACTATGAAAACAAATTATATATATATATGTTATGTCTCCTCTTGGAAATTCAAACGAACAAACAGAAAGCAGCCGTTTCACAATCAAATCAAACTGAAGGAAATAACAAGATAACGGCTGGCAGAAACTGTTAGGACTCCCCTTCGAAATTCAAACAAACAGAGAGCTCTTTGCAGTAACGTCCTCATTCAAAATAGTCATTTTGTTCCTGGCGAAAGGCACCAGCTCAGCTATGTCGTTTTATACCCATTAAGGCAACGTGCTAATTAACTGGCTTGCCCTTCAGATTAACGTTTCCTGGTTCTGACGTCAATCCACAATCTAACAGTCATCAGAGTCAAAACTCCCAACAGGACCGATCCTTCCAATCACAACATACATACATACATACATACATACATACATACATACATACATACATATATATATGGATCTTTGGTTGTTCGGGTTTTCTCCCGCGTAAGATTCGAAGTATCTAGGTAACGTTTCGATGAAGTCTCATTCATCATCTTCAGGCTTCTGTCTCCGGCTCTGTGCTTCTCAGAGTGATGTGAGATTGCAGCTGCTTCTTCCTTTTAACTGCTAGTGGGGGTGGGACTTGATTGGGTGGGGGCTTGGCTGTGTTCTGATTGGGTGGGGGTGTGTTCTCATTGGTAGGGGGTTTGGCGGTGTTCTGATTGGTTGGGGGGTTGGCCGTGTTCTGATTGGTTGGAGGCGTGTTCTGTTCAGGTGGGGGCTTGGTTGTGCCAATGAGAACACATCCCCACTGCTTCCAACTGAATTCCAACTGAAATTCCACACCAACACAGCAGCCACCAAACGCATCCTAAAAAGAACAGAATTGGCCCTAATCAGAAATGAACTTCACACAAAAAGGTTTCTCCTAGACCAAATCAACAAAGATCTCCTCACACTCCACCTGAAACTCAGCAACAAGATTCACCCCCTACTTTGGGACAAATCCAAACAACTTGCTGTCTGGAGAGCCAAAACACAGACCTCCCTCAAGACAGACACACACACCAACAAACTCAGGAAACTACAACAACACCAGAAACCAACTCCTCCCCCCCCACAGCCACACATGAAACAAACAGTGCACAACATCTCAGACAAGATCCTCACTGAAGCTGAAACCAAGGTCCTTTCAAAAGGATTCAACTTTGCTGTCACCCCCAAACACATCCCCACAGAAACCATCATATGTGGAGTTGAAACCAGCCTGACCAAAACCAACTCTGACGATGCTAACAAAATCAGACTCGAAATCACCAACATCCTCTGCACTAACAAACCACCCAAAAGCAACTTATCCAAAGAAGAACAAACTGCACTACTTAACCTGAAAGAAGACACCAGCATAATAATCCTACCAGCAGACAAAGGCAACGCGACAGTGGTTATGAACACATCTGACTACCAAACCAAGTTAACCAACCTACTCCAAGACCCCACATACAAACCCCTAAAGACAGACCCCACCACCTACCTAGAAAAAACTACCAAATCCAAAATAAAAGCTTCCCCCATCAGTGAAGAAATCCAGCAAAGAATCATACCTAGAGAGAAATCATCCAGATGCCCTAAGCTTTATGGTCTCCCCAAGATACACAAAGAAGGAACCCCACTCAGACCAATAGTCAGCTCCATAGGCTCACCTCTACAAAACCTGGCCAAATTTCTCGCCAAACAACTACAACCCTATGCAGAATCCATCAACTCACATGTAAGAAACTCATTCCAGTTCATCGAAATCATAAAGAAACAAAACTTACAACCCAGCGACCTACTAGTAAGCTTCGATGTCATATCCCTCTTCACCCAAGTACCAATAAAAGAAGCCTTGACAGCCATCCAAAACAAATACAACCCTCCCAAGCACATCCTAGATCTGACCAACCACTGCCTATCCAATACATACTTCACCTACAATGGACAAAAATACAAACAAATAGAAGGAGCACCCATGGGATCATCCCTCTCACCTGTCATCGCAAACCTCTACATGGAACACTTTGAAACACAAGCTCTAGAAAAATACGACCACAAACCCAAACTCTGGCTCAGATACGTAGATGACACCTTCATAATCTGGCCACATGGGAAAGAAAAACTGAACAACTTCCTCACACACCTCAACAGCCTACACCCCAAAATACAATTCACCATGGAAACAGAAACCAACAATCAACTTCCCTTCCTAGATGTCTTGGTATACAAAAGATCTAATGGCTCCCTAGGACACACCATCTACCAGAAGAAAACACATACAAACCGCTATCTACATGCACTCTCACACCACCACCCAGCACAGATCAATTCCGTAACCAAAACACTCATCTCCAGAACAAAATGCTTAGCCGATGAACAACACCAAAAAGCCGAACTACACACCCTCACCAACGTACTTACAGCCAATGGATTCCAAAGACACAAGATTACCCACCTAATCCAAAAAGAAACCCCAACCAAAATCCAAGACAGAGAACAAGAAAACGGCAAAGCCCTCCTCCCATATATAAAAGGCACTACAGACAGAATCAGCAAGATCCTCCAAAAACACAACATTAAAACAGCATTCTGCACAAACAGAAAAATATCCACCATCCTAAGAAACCCCAAAGACAGAGTCGAATTAGAAAACCAAGGAGTATACGAAATCCCCTGCACTGCCTGCCCTGCCACATACATTGGACAGACTAACAGAAGAATAAGTGCACGCATTGAAGAACATAAGAACTCAATCAAAAAAGAAGAAACGACCTCTTCCCTGGTCCAACACCTCAAAGCCACAGGACATAAAATTAACTTTAAAAATACCAGAACTATTGCCAAAACCGAACACTTCAACAGCAGAATAATTAGAGAAGCCATAGAAATAGAAAAACGCCCACACAGCATGAACAAACGAGATGACACCTCCCGCCTCCCAGCCATTTGGAAACTCGCCCTCATGAACAGATGAATACCTGCAACCTCATCACTGCCCACTCCAAACCCCTCCGAACCATACATGAAGCAAGCCGACACCAACTATGGAGATGCAGCGCGACCTCGAACTCGAAGCTGGGCAGCAGGAAATCCAGCCAATCAGAACACGGCCAACCCCCCAACCAATCAAAACACAGCCAGGCCCCCCACCAATGAGAAGACACCCCCACCCAATCAGAACACAGCCAAGCCCCCACCCATTCAAGTCCCACCCCCACTGACAGTTAGAAAGAAAAAAGCAGCTGTAACCTCACATCACTCTGAAAAGCAAGAGCCAAAGACAGAGGCCTGATGATGATGAATGAGACTTCATCGAAACGTTGCCTAGATACTTTGAATCTTACGTGGGAGAAAACCCGAACAACCAAAGATCCATATATATATATATATGTATGTATGTATGTATGTATGTATGTATGTATGTATGTATATGTATATGTATATGTATATGTGTATATATATATATATAATGTTTTCTGAGGTTCTCGCGGGTATTTGTATGTGTGTCTTTGGTTATTCGGGTTTTCTCCCGCGTAAGATTGGAAGTATCTAGGCAACGATTCGATGAAGTCTCATTCAAGCCTGAAGATGATGAATGAGACTTCATTGAAACATTGCCTAGATACTTCCAATCTTACACGGGAGAAAACCTGAATAACCAAAGACACACACACACACACACATATATTTGTTTTCTTAAGTTTTCGCGGGTACTTACATGTATGGTATTCAGCTTTGTTCGGGTATTTTCCCACGTCATTGTAGTTGTGCTTTTAAAGTTGTAGCAATGTTTCCGCAGAATCTCATCTGCCATCATCAGGCTTCTGTAGACGAACACAATACATACCAACACAATACAGAAGCCTTCAGAAAATATATATATATATGTATATATGTATATATGTGTATATGTATATGTATATATATATATAATTTTAATGTTTTAAGCTACCCAGAGTCACTTTGCAGCAAGATTGGCAGCAAACAAATTAAATTTACTTCAATAAATATGTTACTGTCTGCAGTATTTTGTCAAATCTAAGGGCTTTCAATGGAAATTAAATATAACTTTATGATGCAGAAAAGCCAGCACTGATTTTATTTTTTATTTATTTGCATTATAGCAAAGGTTTTAGTCGAAAGAATACAGCCTCTGCAAAAATTAAGGCATCCATTCTGCCCCTTAAAAACTATCCCCAAATCCTCTAAAACGCAGAATAACGGGTGGGCCACAGATGTTAAACACCAGAGATATTACAAAACTATAATTTTGTATCCCTGGTTATGAGCAATCGATACCAAACCCCTGTTAAGGAAACATAATTCTGTCCTTCAGAAGGTTCAGAGTAGTTCATGTTTGACTGTTTTAGAATGCAGTGACGTTCGTGTGGTTTTTCCCAGGAGCAGCTGGTATTTTGAGACTTTTCTCCTTCATGTGGAATTTCTGGTGTTTCACGATGTGCGACCGGTGAGTGAAGCACTTCCCGCACTCCAGGCATTTGTAAGGTTTCTCTCCCGTGTGGACTCTCTTGTGAGCCAAGACGTTGGATCGGTCTGAAAAACGTTTCCCGCACTCGGAACACATGTAGGGCTTCTCTCCCGTGTGAACCCTTTTGTGCCTGGCGAGGGAGGAACTGTCTGCAAAGCATTTCCCACACTCGGAGCATGCATATGGCTTCTCTCCCGTGTGGATGCGCTGATGCTTGACCAGACCTGACCGCTGGGCAAAGAATTTCCCACACTCCAAGCAGGTGTAAGGTTTCTCGGCTGTGTGGATGCGGCAGTGCTTCACGAGAGACGAGGGCCGAGGAAAACATTTGCCGCACTCCAGGCACTCATAGGGTTGTTCTCCTGTGTGGACCATCCAGTGACTCACGAGGGTCGAGTGCTGGTCAAAACACTCCCCACACTCGGAGCATTTGAATGGGTTCATCCCTCTGTGAATCCTCTGGTGAGCCACCACGTGGGACCTGTCTGCGAAACACTTCCCACACTGGAGGCACTTGTAGGGTTTTTTGCCTGTGTGGGTTCTCTGGTGCCTCACGAAGGCCGGGTGGTCAGCAAAATGTTCCCCGCACTGCAAACATTTGTGTTGTCTCTCTTGGAGGTGAACCTTCTGGTGGCTCAAAAGGCCCAACGCGTGAGCAAAACACTTCCCGCATTCCAGACACACGTGGTGGTGGTGCCCATCGACAACCCTGCCCTGACAGTGCGTGGTGAGAGCAGGGGACCATGGGAAACTCCCCCTGCAGTCTAGGCACTCACAGGCCTCTTCTTCTGGGTTCATCCTCCAGTGGTCCATGAAGGTAGAAGATCGCTGAGCCTGTTCCTCACACTCCACACATTCATAAGGTCTCTCTGCGGTGTGGATTCCCTGTGGCGTTGCGGGGCCTGACCAGCAAGTAAAAGAGTTCCCACAGGTCTCACACAGGAAGGACTCCTTTCCCACAAGAAGTTTCTGGTGCGCCTCATTGTAGTATTTGTTGTGCAGCCGAGGAAACAACCTGTTTTCCACAGAATCATCTGGTGGAATAAAAGACAAATACAGTTTGTCTTATGACCACGGTTGAGCCTAAAATTTCTGTTGCTAACCGAGACAGCTGTTGAATGAGTTTTGCCCCATTTATTACCGTTCTAGTCATAATTGTTAAGTGAAACTCTGCAGTTAGATTAGTTGTTAAGAGAATCTGGCTTTCCCATTGACTTTGTTCATCAGAAGGTCGCAAAGGGAGATTACATGATCCCAGGACATTGCAACTGTTATAAATACATGCAAGTTGCCACGCATCTGAATTTTGATTACGTGACTGTAAGAATGCTACAACAGTGGTAAGTGTGAAAATTAGTTGTAAGTCATTCTTTCTAATGCTGCTGTAACTTTAACAGTCATTAAATGAATGGTTGTAAGTCACAGACCTATAATGATCATTGCTAGGGTTAGAATAATTTGGAAAAGCCATCAGTAACATGAGAAAACATTACAGTCTAATTCAGAATTTTTGAAGTTTGGCAACTTTGGAGCCTATGGATTTCAGCTCCCAGAATTTCCCCAGACAAGTTTGAGAATTCTGGGTGTTATTATTTTTTTATTATTTTTATTATTTTCTTTTATTCTTCTTGTTTTTATATGATGCTTTTAGATTGTGTGAGCCGCCTTAAGTCACCCTGGGCAAGTAGGCGGCAATATAAATTTTCTAAAATAAAATAACTACTAGATTAAACAGGCTCAATTGTCTGATTACTAAACTTTTACCTGCATTGGCGTTAGATATCTCTGTGTCATCCAGCTTGGAGATTTCTGGCAGCCACGGCTCTTCCCCATGTTCTATTTGAGAGATAAGGGCAGGCTTGAGGGCTAGAAAACCTGAAGGCAAAGTAGATATGGAAGAATGTGATCAAGCAGGTCAGTTCTGAAGCCCAGGAGCAGGCCTGCCTGCTGAGCCTGGTTCAAAAAAATCAAGATGGCGACGAATAAAAAAGCAGGTGGAGCTTCCCTCACGTCATTCTGTATGCCATCTTGATTTTTTTTAACCATATCCTGAAGCCACTCCGTGCAGAGCAAAACATGGCAATATGATAAGAGATTGAAAAATGACTTGTCATTTTTTTTACTGCGAGTACACCGGCCCTAGTAAAAAATTAAATTCTATTGCCAGCTCTCAAGAGAAAGCATGCATCTATCCAAACACATACATAACACACATATACACATGCTAGCTATATATATATATATATACCTGCACCATACATGTATGTATGTGTGTGTATATATATATATATATATGTATGTATGTATATATATGTATACACACACGCACCAACACACACACATACACATATGAAGGCACATCCAGGCCTGTCCAACTACAGAGGAGCCTAGCAGAGCTGCCTCAAGCTATAACAGACAGGAATAATTAAGAACAAGCCAGGCCATCACAAGGTCACAAGCAAAGCAACAAATTGCAACAGCTGGCAGGTTAACATCATTTCTTAGAGATAAGCAATCCAGGCTGGGTCTGACAAGGGAGGAAATAACAAGAGTTAAACTTCCATCAAAGCAAAAACAACATAGTTAATTACAGGTGGGAGGTGGTTGAAAGGGTCTATTACACGTGCAAGGGCTAAATTGATATAAAATACACACACACACACACACACACACACACAAAGTAACAAGGAAAACATACAAAATGTACAACCTCAATCTAAATCATAGCGCGAATAGCAAAAATCTTTGCCGTAATTATAATCCTAGGCCTGGTTTCCTAGGAATTCACTGAAACACATTTGAATTAGAAATGCAGCAGACCTTGTAACCAAACATTATTTGAATTGAGGGAGAAGACTGATAAAATTATAAGGATCTTTTGCCTTTGCTGGATCCTTCCTCCTTCCCTGGGTCCAGATTCGTCTCTCCCAAACTGTAACAAAACTTTGCAGGTTAAGCCTTCAACTTATGACCAGAATTTCAGTCATAAGTTGTGGTAAGTTGGAGCACCCACGTGCCCGGATGCAATTTTTCGATCGTTTTTTACAGAGGTTGTAAGTGAATCATGCAGTCGTTAAATGACTCCACTCTCCCAAATGGACTTTTTGGGGGGGGGGGGGGGGGGGGGGGAAATTGTGGAAAAAAACACCAAAACCAAAAGCAGAAACATTACAAATCATGGCCAGACGGTACAAACAGTCCTAAATGCAAAGCTGGTTGCCAAATGTCCTTAATATGATCATGTGAAACATTCATGTTTCTCCCATGAACATGAAGAACTCGCATTAAGCAGTATCATTTGTACAGTAAATAACCAAGATAAAGAACAAAAGTGAGTTTTTGGAAAAATAAGTCTTAAGGGCAGCTTTTTGAAGTGTCCCAAAGGTGCTTTTTCTTTTTTCTGACCGTTTGAGCAGTCACATGCACATTTGCGGCCCGCTGGAGGTCATTTTGCAGGGCTCTGGCAGGGCTCCTCCTGTCCCTCCTTGCACAAAGGCGGAGGTAGCGGTCGTGATGCTGGGTTTTTGCCCTCCTACGGTCTCCTCCACGTCTCCGGATGTACTGGCCTGTCTCCTGATAGCGCCTCCATGTTCTGGACACTATGCTGACAGACACAGCAAACCTTCTTGCCACAGCTCGCATTGATGTGCCATCCTGGATGAGCTGCACTACCTGAGCCACTTGTGTGGGTTGTAGACTCCGTCTCATGCTACCACTAGAGTGAAAGCACCGCCAGCATTCAAAAGTGACCAAACCATCAGCCAGAAAGCATAGGAACTGAGAAGTGGTCTGTGGTCACCATCTGCAGAACCTCTCCTTTATTGGGGATGTCTTGCTAACTGCCTATGCTTTCCACCTGTTGTCTATTCCATTTGCACAACAGCATGTGAAATTGATTGGTCAATCAGTGTTGCTACCTAAGTGGACAGTTTGATTTCACAGAAGTGTGACTGACTTGGAGTTACATTGTGTTGTTTAAGTGTTCCCTTTATTTTTTTGAGCAGTGTATTTTGTTGATTACCATGTTTTCTGAGGGGGTCGTAGCCAGTTTCTAGTTTTGGACAAAGCTTATTCTGGCTGCAGTTAGGATCAAGTACTGGTATTTCCTTTTCGAATTTAGTTCTATCATGCCTAATAAAAAAATTTCAGGTTTAAATTTTAGTTCCTCTTTTTTATTTCTAATATCCAAATTCTAATTTTTTGCCAAAATTTTTGTGCATATGGGCAAGTCCACCACATGTGGAAATAGGTTCCTTGAATGTAGTTGCACTTCCAGCAGTTCGGTGTCATATTGGGGAACATCTTGGCTATTCTCGCTGGCGGTAGATGCCAACGATGAACCATTTTATATAAATTTTCTTTGTAAGAGGCTGACATTGTTGGTCTCTGATTTATCTGCTAGAGGTGTTCCCAATAGTCTAAATTAATATTATGGCCCACATTTTTGGCCCAAATTATCATGCAATCTTTAACAGTTTCCTCGTTTAGCTTGTAGTCTAATAAATATTTGTAGATTTTACTGATCATTTTTCTTTCTTCCCCATGCCATATCTTATCTAGTTTTTGTTGAGTCATGCTAAAACCAAATTGTTCTTTATCTTTTTTTGTAATGTGTTTGTGTTTGTAAATAGGGCCGCCATCCTATCTTGATTCCCTGGAGTTGTAGTTGGTTCCTGGTTTTTAGTTCTCCTTTTTCGTTTAATAAATCTCTATATCTTGTAATTTTATTGTGGTCCAGGACATTGGGGTGTATAACTGCTTCCATTGTTGATAGCCACAATGGGACCTTGGACAATGGTTCCTTTTTATTTTTTCCCAGGTATTTAACAGAACATTTCTCATCCAATGCCTTTGAAAATACAAATGTTATTTACTCTTCCCATCCCAGATGAACACATGCCAGCTAAGTTGAAGGCCGAAACCCTTGTCAGTTTGACCCAATCTTTAAGCCATGTGGCAATAGCAGCCTGATGATATAATTCAAGTTCTGGGAGACCGAAGCCCTCCCTTCTCTCTAGCATCTTGTAATAATTTATACTTTATCTTGGTTTTCTTCTGCCATATAAATTTAGAAATTTGTTTGTTTAATTCTTCAAAGAAGTTTTTCCCCAACTTGGCTGGCATCCAAAGATGCTTTTTCAAGAGGCAACTGGACTTTCTGGTTTTTCTTCAGCTGTGAGCTGAAGAAGCTTCTTGGATGAGAAGCGAAATGTCTTCAAAGAAAAACCCAGAAAGTCCAGTTACCTCTTGAAAAAGCACCTTTGGGAAAACCATGACCTGGATGACTGAGAATCTCCACAGACTTTCTGTATGTTTAATTTAAGAAATGCATAATCAAGGAAGGGTGATCACTGTAAATAAAATGGTTCAAACTTTTTCTGCAACATCCTAGAAGCTTAATGAAGAATTCCCTTGTGGCTGCTCTCATTTCCTATAGGACAGAAAGCATTCTACAATCCCAGTATTTCTGTGTCTCATCGGCCATAGAAGATACATATCGGCTTTTCAGCTAGCCCCTTACCCAGTGAGGCCACAATCCCATAATTTTCCACCATGACATCTTCATACAAAGTTCTCTGTTTTCGATCCAGCAGAGCCCCTTGGTCCTCTGTGAAATACACAGCCACATCTTCAAATGTCACTGAATTCTGTAAGAAAAATAACATTTAAAAGATACGTATGTGTGCATATATATCTAGCTAGCTTATTACTTA